TTGATCGGATTTTGGGATTTCAATTACTGTATTTATGACAGAAACTTTCACTATTTAGGATCAGGCCTCTATGAATAAACTCTAAAATAATAAAATATGTGACCCTGGAGCACAAAACCAGTCTTAAGTCGCTGGGGTATATTTGTAGCAATAGCCAACAATACATTGTATGGGTCAAAATTATCGATTTTTCTTTTATGCCAAAAATCATTAGGATATTAAGTAAAGATCATGTTCCATGAAGATATTTTGTAAATTTCCTACATTTTGATTGATCATCCAGGTGGATGCTGCACACTGGTGGTGGTTTGAGGAGTTTCCCCCGCTTTCATGTAAAGCGCTTTGAGTACCCATAAAAGCGCTATATAAATGTAACAAATTATTATTATTATTATTATAAATTTCCTACTGTAAATATATCAAAACGTAATTTTTGATTAGTAATATGCATTGCTAAGGACTTCATTTGGACAACTTTAAAGGCGATTTTCTCAATTCATACATCAAAAATATGCAAAAAATGCTGCTGGGGTATAAAGTCGGTGCTCTTTAGATGCAGGATTTCTAAATTCATCAAAAAAAACGAATCACTCCAAGGCACTCAAAATTATAGTGAAAAAATTAAAAAGCCTTTATTCGCATGGCTTTACATTAAAAGCAACACACAAGTGCACCGACGCGCAGGGGAGAAGATAGGATAAAAAGGTTACAACAGAGAGAGTCTTTCTGGATCTAGGCAACTCATTTTCCAGGTTTAAATGGAGAATTAGATTTTTTTCCCCTTTTTTAATACTTTATTGTGTTTTTTTGGATCTATGTTGTACTTTGATATTATATTGAGATTAATGTATTTTTTCTCTCTTCTTCTGTTTTGTTAATCTAAATAAAAATAATTTGAATTTATTGGGTACAATTATATTTACGAAAAATAATTATCTGTGTGATGCTTTGGAACTTAATCAGGTGACTATGTCACGTGACAATTTGATTGTTTAAATGGACTCTGAGTGTGTTTGTAGTTTGACACCCTGATAGTTGCAACATGTCGGTGCACTTGTGTGTTGCTTTTAATGTAAAGCCATGTGAATAAAGGATTTTTAATTTTTTCACTATAATTTCGAGTGCCATGGAGTGATTCGTTTTTGGGCGATTTTCTCAATATTTTGATTTTTTTGCACCCTCAGATTCCAGATATTCATATCTAGGCCAAATATTGTCCTATCATAACAAACCATGCATCAATAGAAAGCTCATTTATTCGGTTTTCAGATAATGTATACATCTCAATTTCAAAAAATTGACCCTTATGACTGGTTTTGTGGTCCATGGTCACATATATATGGAGAAAAAGCTATGGGAGCCTTTACTAGCTCAAGAGAGCAGTGGTTAGAGATGGGAGAAGAAATATGTACTAAAGAAATTGTGCATACTTCTTTAATCTTGAAAAAAGAAGTGGAGTTAAACGTGAAAAGAAATCTCTGTAGTGTAATAGGTTGACTTCAGAGCTTTCTAAAAAAAATGTGACCCTTTATCTAAATTTTCTTGGCAGTTTATGAAAATTCATTTGTTGGATGCCTTCCACCATCAATGAGAGCGGGTATTATTACTCTAGTACTTAAATCCCAAAAAGCTACTCTTTTTATTCATAACTTGCACCCAATCACATTATTAAATAATGACTATAGAATTTTGTCATCTGTCCTGCCAAAACGACTTAAATGGCCTTGATGGCTTGATTGATGAGTGCCAGTCCCTGACTAAGCCATGTTTAAAATATTACATAGCTGCTACTCTTTTACTCGTACACTCATTAATTAAATACGGAACAAACACTTTCTGTGATATAAAAAAATATTTTTTGCAAATTATATAATATTAATTTTATCATAACAATGTGATAAATATGACATCTATGCTTTCTCACTCTGAAACGCACAGGCCTGTATGTAGATAATAAAAACTAATTACACAACAAAATCTTCAAATGGTGCTGACACTAATGTTAGAAGCTTTCTGAAATGCATCATCGAATGAGTGCAAGAATGTATACCAGTTACAACCGGGTGTAAACTAAAGGTCAACAAAAGAATAAACAAAGCACAAAAATATCCCAGCTGTTCTTCACAAAAATCTATGAGCCCAGAACTACAACATCACTGCCTACAATATTATTCAGCAAACATTTAGCCTTCATATTAATGCAATTTATCAAAAGCACTTTATCTTGCCTCCAGTTTTAAAGTAATTGAATTAAATCGTTCAGTTATCCGAATGAGTAAATAATACATTATTATCAAAGGCCAAAGATTCAATCGCCCCTTCAGGCAAATGATTTTTGGCAGCATATTCAAATAGTATACTGATAACTAAAGATTGCGAGTAAAATCACATACCTCATAATCTGCTAGAGTTGGTGTGTACAGCATGCTATCATTTTTCTGTTACAAGAGAAACCACATCTTAAACATAACAAACTAGACAGATTTTAAAAAAAGTAAAAAACAGTACTAAATCATATGGTACCACTTGGCTCAGCTCCCTTGCGATTCTTTTCACCATCTCCACACTCTCTTTGCTGCATACTGGTTGACACTTGATCTGTCTTGTCAACATGATCAGCAGGTACAGAAATAATGAAGTAAAACGCATGGAATAGTGGAGTAAATCTGTCCTCATATCAAATATCCAGTTCTCCCTCACCAACACATCTGTCATCAGGCCTAGGAAGAGATGGGGCGATTTGAGAGGCTACATTTCCCCCTCCTTAGGGTTTGGCTTTTATTTGTAGATAGCCTACACAATAAAGAGCACATGGCTGAAGATACATTCTGCCTGTAATCTAAAAAAAAAACAAGCGAGGGAAGAAACAAATACAAATTAAGAGAATCAACACGAACATGCCTTGAAAAGATGCAACAATATTTTATTTATATTATCATTTACGTAGGGCTATTCTGATCTAGGCTATTTCCAATTATATTAATTTAATAGGCCTAGTAAAAACTAGTTCATAAAACACTGACTTAATAGACACTAAGAGACATTTTTAAAACTGCAATAATCTGTAGCACAGACCTACCTCATCAAACATTTCTGGAGAGAATAATTTAAGACGTCCTTAGACAGAATTGCACATTCACGCCTAATCATTATGCAGAATAGGTCAGTTGGTTTTCATCTGCCACAACTCCAAGGCAAACCAGTACAATAATAAAACGCTGAGATCCGAGTCTCCTTCCACTTCCAGCTGAAATAACTTTACATGAATAGGCTAACACTATCCGTCTTCATGCGTAGTAGAACATCGACCGAGTGAGTGGAGTTCAGTCGTGTATCTTTTATACCGCCGCGTGATTGTGCTGGACTCTGATGCCCTCATGAGTCATATGGCGCTTTTCCACTGCGTGGTACGACTCGGATCGGTACGGCTCAGTACGGCTCAGTACGACACGGCACGGCACGGCACGGCTCGGCTCGGCTCGGCTCGGTTTGGCTCGGTTTGCTTTTCCACTGCAGTTTAGTACCGCTTTAGAGTGGGCGGGATTATTCACATGTCGTTATAGTTGCGCCGCCTCTATTGCCGCGACTCCTAAAAAACTTTTTCATTCCGCGTCGCCCCATCAAGCTCTCGCTGGATCCGCTCCTCTGCTATCAACGAGAGGAACGTCTGTAGTTCCTCAACAGGGGGAACAGCCACTTTTTGGTTGTTAAAAAAAGGTGCGCTCGTTCAAAACAGTTGCGTTCGATCCTTCGCTGGCTGTGCTGATTTAAATCTAGCAGTTCTTTTGTGTTTGTGTCGCAAGTTCAGAGACACAGGTAGTGACGATTCTCTCCGGCCAATCAGTGATCAGCAGAGTTTACACGTCACGTTTTGGTAACGGTACGGTACGCTTGGAACCCCAACCGAGGTGGTACTAAAAAAAGTACCAGGTACCAGGTACTGTACCATGCAGTGGAAAAGCGCCAAAAGTGCCCAGTAGGGGTGTTAAAGGCGGTCTTCCATTCATCCCCCTCCCTAATCCGAACTAAGTGATAAGCGTTGCAGAGGTCCAACTTCGTAAAGATGGTAGCCCCCTGCAAGAGCTCGAAGGCGGATGACATCAACGGCAAAGGATAACGATTCTTCACCGTGATGTCATTCAACCCCCGATAGTCTATGCAGGGGCGCAACGAACCATCCTTCTTCTCCACGAAGAAGAACCCCGCCCCAGCCGGAGAGGAAGAGGGTCGGATGATGCCTGCTACCTGAGAATCGTGAATATACCTTGTCATGGCCTCCCTCTCAGGACCGGACAGAGAGTAAAGGCGCCCCTTAGGAGGACCCATCCAGCCCTCGCTGGATCCGCTCCTCTGCTATCAACGAGAGGAACGTCTGTAGTTCCTCAACAGGGGGAACAGCCACTTTTTGGTTGTTAAAAAAAGGTGCGCTCGTTCAAAACAGTTGCGTTCTAGAAACAACTGCGCTGGAGGAGCTACCCGAAACTGAAAGTACGCTACGTTGACTTGAGAAGTGTAATGTTTAATAAATGTATAGACGATGTAGTTTTAATGTATGTGGTTCTTATAAAAACGCAATTAAATACGTCAATAATTACGCGCTAAATATGCCTTGATGTTGGGCATGCTGAGACTAACAGGAGTGAAATCCTGTCTAGAGAACAGTTTAATACTGCGAGCGTCCTCTTAAACTGTAAACCGATTACTGATGCACTAAAACAATATGGTTCCCCTTTGCTAAATAGGCTAGTCTGTTAGCTGACATGCACTATTTAACACTAATGCAACTTTATCTGTACTGTACATGTTTATTTATTTGTCTGTAAATGCAGTTTTCGGATTTTTCAGTTTGACATTATACTATGAACTACTTCCTTTTACCTAGCATTTAGAAAAATGTGACATTCTTTTTCTTCAGGCCCCTCCTTTTAGACACACCCATACAAAATCTACCATGATATCAAAGCAAAAATAAATACAATGGCTCAATCAGAATTACACAATGCAGGTTTTATTTAGGTACAAATAACAGAACACATTTTTCATACAGTGTGAAAATCATGGATTTTTTTTTTTGACAGTAAGTACAAAGGGCAGGTGTGAACATTTGTTTTCTTTGCACCATTTCTAGCAGGCAGGGTGTGAAGCATAAAGGCCTTAGGTAAACAAATCTGAGATATAGGTTCAGTTGGCTTAAGCATTCATTGATTGTGACAATCTCCTTTAGAAATCAACAATGTATTACATTAAAAATACACTAAAATTTAAAACAAAATCAAGAGTCCATTTGAACAGCATTACCTTGTCTTAGTCCACACCAGAATACTTTTCTTGGGCGTGATGGAATGCTTTTTCATTGTGTACAGCAAACATTTTCATCAATGCAAAATATCAGATCAGATGTTTTGATGTTTGTATTAACAATCAAAGCAGCGATTCATGTTCCCTTGTTCAAATGTATTAATAACCAAATCCATATAGAACACTGGCAATAAAAATGTATTTTAACATACACGAGAATGTTTTGTCTGAAACACACTGTTTTCCAGACACGTCTGGACCACATTCGAGAAAAATGTGCAAAACAAAGAAACAAGAGTTAAGTGCCAGAAAACAACTACTTCATAAATAAGTTCTTTATATATCACAGCCAACTGAAAGCCTTTAATGACACAGGCTTTAGTTCTATTACATATAATACATTTGCATATGACAGAGTTTTAAAAGCAATAAAATAAACACTGCCAAATATAGCAAAGCAGTTTTTTACTGATGTTTTACTGGTATCCTGGCCAGAAAGTAGGGTTGAGGGTTAAAAAAAAATAAAATCACTGACCATAGCATAAACTGGCTGACACCCGTATTTTATAGTCCATGATTTTTTTTTGTCTGTGTGGAGTGGACATGGATCTCTAAGCTGACTCCTCTGCTACATGCTAAAGTGCCAGATAAAGTGTCATTGAAGAACGAGGCACCATACCAGACCCCAGGAGCACACCACTCAAAGCCTTTTGCAGTTCTGCATTGAGAAGTTGCAGCTATTGATGCTGACCCTTCTCCTGCTCTGGCTGTCTGCTACAGGCGACAGTGTCTGAGTCAGGCTGACTTGTGCATTGCTAAAAGTCGCTATCCTCCCACTCCCGGCAATCTGCAAGTTGACAGTGGTGGCATAACTGGTTTTTAATGTTGTTTTGGACCCTTGAATAGGAATACTTTCTTCTGCTTTGCCTTCGGTTGGGCACTGAATGGGACTCTCTCTCAAATTTGGGTTAGCTGGAGCGACATAGGGACAGATCAGGGTGCTCCGACAAGTCGATTCTGCAACCTCTATGTCATCTTGCTCGGTCTCGGTGCAGGACAAAGCAACAGTTTCAGTACTGGGCTCTGTGTTGTATTTAGTAAACATATCATGTACATCCGGCCAGGCGATGCTTGTGAAATGTTTTCCGCTAAGAGTGGTCCTTTCAGTTGTTAGTCTAACGGGTGAAAGAGGGCCAGGGCTGATAGAAGATGGGCTGCCACTGTATGAACCCCCATGAGGACTTATTAACCCCAATTCTGAACCCACTGACCATCGTCCACTTTCTGCCCAAGACCTGCGTTCATGTCTAGTTGGACTGGGTGGTCTATCCCCTAGAGCAACAAAGGGCAAACTGGCTCCTCGTAGCCTCCTCTGGCTCTGAGAGTTGGTTGCTGAATATGAAGACGTTCCCATTGGGGTAGGAGAGATGATTCTGGTGCCTCTTTGTGTAGAGTTTGTTTCCACTTTTGTTGGAGAATATGCATTTGTTAATGAGGGATTCCTTGGCTGCGGATTAGCAAAACCCCATACACTTGCAGGAATGCCAATAGGGGGTGGAGAGGTGATTCTGGGGCTCTCACAAGGGGATAATGAACAAGCTGATGTTGATCTTGAGATCTCCAAAGATAGAGGGGTTCTGGGATTTGGTGGCTTTGTTACCAGATGACTGGAGTGGATCGGAGCAGGTGGAGGGGAGCAGATTCGGGTGACTGGAGATGGGCAAATAGAAGGGGAGTGAACACGGGAGCTAGGCTCAGAGGATGGAAAGGGACGAGCAACCCTATTGTGCAAGGTTGTTCTTTGAGGATCATGGAAATGAGGGAGTTCACCCGTATTTGAGGGTGGTGCTTTTTTATGGTTAGTGGCCCAGCCGTTATTACTTAAGCTGTTGTTATTGTTATTATTACCATTTAAACTGGTGTAAGAAGGCTGTTCAAGAGCTGCAGTGTTTATGCTGTTAGGAGATGGAGCTGAATGGAGGCTAACTGGAGGTGCAGGGGATATTGAGCGTTGACTACGGTAAGGAGGAGGGGTCTGAACTGTTGCTGGACTAGATCGGAGACTGTTCGATCTGAATGGGGATGGACAAGACCTTAGGGGTTGACTCCCTACCCCGGTGCTGGATGTATTCTTAAAACCTGACTCTGCACTTGAGTCGAAGGTGATGGGTTTGGGTGATGGTGACCTTAACCTTACAGAAGATGTGGGCAGAGGAGAAGAGCTTACAGGTGGGGAAGCAGTCTGAAGATGTGCACCTCTCTTGGCCATGGTTTGGGAAATTGTCTGACTGATACAAGAGGCAGCAAGAGACTTTGTAAGAGCTGAGGCCGTTGCGGACAATCTGGAGTTCTGGGCACTTCTAATTGGAGAGGGTGACCGCATTCGCAGGTTTGGGCTAAAGGCAGACGGTGGTTTTGCATCTAATGGACGTCCACAACCAAAAGGATTGTCTGAAGGCTTATCATTAGGAGCCTGGGAAAAAGATTGTCTGTGAGTAGAAAGGCCAGAAGCTGAAGCATCCTGAATCTGTTCCTCAGTCTGCAATGAAGTATGTGGCACTCTAAAAAGGCAAGATAAGATAGATTAAAATGAAATCAAATACTTACACTGCTTTAATATAAACTACAACGTCATAACTTAAATATCAATTGGATACACCCTATTACTACAGCTTGGTTTGTGACATGCTTAGCAGACTACCTCTGAGTGGCTGGAGATGATGGATTCCAATTGGTGAAGGGACTTCTCTTTCCTGTGGCAGAGGGTAGATTGGAAGGTCTTTGGCTAGTAAACCTTGGAAGCTCATCCAAAGGAGGTCCACCTACAGGGGGTGTACAGGGTGGGCTCAAAGTCTTTGAATTATTGCTTAGGTCTTCTTTGGATTTAACATCCAATGGACTACACTTGCCGCATGAACCAAGCAGAGGCATCAGTTGTGTAGGGCTTGTTGTAACCTCCTGGGCTACAGGGTACGAAAGCTCTGATCCTTCAGAGATGACTACAGTGTTTAGAACACAGGGTGCTGGCTGTAATGGGGGACATGCTCCAACTTCGCTAACAGTGGACACTACAAGTGTTATTTCCTCCATGCTAGTGGTTTCAATATCAGCTCGGTCCTGCTTGGAATTCATATGTCCTGTATGCATTTCATCTTGTTTATCATCTATGGACAATATGCTTTTACAGTGCTGTACAGTTAAGCCCCTTTTCTCCTCTACACTGTGAGTCTCTTCTTCTAAATGTTTAATGATTACTGGGTCAATAAAAAGTTCACTACTTGGAACAGAATTGCTCACAAAAGCCAGGTTCTCCTCTTGCAATATCGGTCCTTCTTCAGTCCTATTTATTGCAGTGGATTTGTCCACAGCATATAAATGATTCTCCGGAACAGACTGTAGTACATTGTCAGCATGCTCGTCCAATGGAAATCCGGCTAGTTTGGATGGCACTTCTGGCTCAGCTTGGATTTGAGTTCCAGTGCAAGTTGACAAGGATTGATCTCCTTCATGTAGTTTAGACTCACATTTGTCTAAGGAGCTTTCTCTATGATCTGATATCACAGAAATCTGTGATTCCACAACAGTTGTTAATATTTGAACTGAAGTAGCAGAGGATTCAGCAGATGAAAAATACAGTGAATTAGATACATTTGTAGAGATCTCATCTGGGGGCCCAATGAGATTACAATCATTTTCTTGGTGATATGTTGTAGACAACTTCTCCCTTAAAATTATGTGACCAAAAGGTTCAGGAGGTGTTGATACTGAAGATTCTTCTGCAACAAAACAATAGGCAACATTTTAAAATAATGAGTAGAATAATATCACACAAGATCATAATTGAATTATATATGGATTATGAACTCACCCGTGGGCTGATTTAGGATCCTTATATCCCCCTGGTGTAGCTGTACTTGCCGAGACTTGGGTGAAGTGCTCCCTTTTCCCTCCACTGACCATGCTGCCCTACTCACTCGTGTTTTCTTCTGGTGTAGTGGTACTTTCATGCTGCTTGCTTTTGCTGTGTACATGCGTGCAAGCATTTGCACTTTATTAAGAATCTTTTCTGAGTTTTCTACCAAGCATTGATTGACTGGTCCACCATCAAAAAAAACTAAATCTGGTACCTCTTCCATTCCTTCATAAAGGGTACGACTACACGTTACCACCTTGCCATGACGAGACCATCGGCCAACTTTAATCTGACTGGGAAGGCTATCCAGGTTTCCATGAGAGGACATGCTAGCTCTTGTTCTACTTCCATATTGAAAAGATGTATCCGCTGTCTCTTTCGTCTGCAGATTAGATGTGTCTGAAGTGTCTGGATCGCATTGTGAATGATCATGTTTATGCTGCTTGTTTTCCTCAGAAGCAACTGTATCTTCACCACAGCTCTTTTCCTTTGAGAAAGGGACTTTCAGAGATTCTTGGCCAGTTCTTTCTTTCTCCTTCCAGAGTTCCATACAGGGACTGAACTCACAAATATCTTCATCTTTTTTATCTGCAGTCTTGTTGTTTAATAATTCTTTTTGTTCTTGGATAACATCTGAATGTGCAAGAGAAATGGCTGTATCAGCAGATTCCTCATGGCTGAAATTCTGGTCAACTTGGTCTGATGTTGGGAGTAATGAAGATGCTGCGTCAGTTTCAACACAGTCTGAGCGGCTACTCTCAGGCTCAAGTAGACTGTCTTGGCGAACACAAACATTTAATCGAGACACCGAATCTTTCACTAATCCAGCAGGAATATGAGAGATGCTGTTTCTTCGGGCTGTCTGACCCTCCTCGACACCTGCCTCCGCTGCCTCATAATAGCTGCGTATCTTCTCAATAATTTGCTTGTCACTTTTGGTTAGTTTTTGCTCAGGTTCTGCTTTGGGGACAAGAGAGCTGTCAGTTGCTTTTAATGCAGTAGCAATGTGAGCACAAGCTGACTTAGCCGCACATGCTGTGTCATCAGTGGTTTTGTCCAAATTGTCAGATAAATGAGGTTCTGCACTTTTACTAACAGTGTCTTTTTCCCCCTTTTCACCTGTGACCTTCACCATTTCTGGTTTTGATGATTCACTATGACTGGGCTCTGGTAATGTCAACTCTCCTGATTGATTCACTTCTTTGGAGGTGTGCAGTAGTGATGATGATTTCTCATGCTCCTCTGCTGGAGCAACATTCGCTTCACAGGATGGATGGCTGTCCTCTTCTTTGTCTGACCCATCTACCAGCATTTCTTCTGGTTCTGATCTTTCGGTATCATTGGTCTGATATTTATTTTCATCCACCTCAGCTATTAGTGGTTTGGATTCATCTAGCTGCTGTGGCTCTGATGGCTGGACTTCCGGGGACTCTGGAGTCAACTGGCACAGTGGAAAACAAAAAATGAGCAAAATGCCATTTTCTTATGACTAGAAGCTTACATTAACAGCATTATTACTACAAAGTCACTGATGTCAATGTGTATACCAATAGCAATGAAGCATTGTGTTGAGTTACTACAGCAATTACTGTCTTGGCATATTGTTTTAGGTGTCAAAATGTGCTATATGTACCACTTCAGATGTTAACTCCGCCATGCCTTGTCGAGCACGGCTCTCATTAATGAACTGCATGATTTCCTCAGTAATGGACAGTGTTGGTGGTGGAGCGAGTGGGGTCATGTCATCCTCGTCCTGACATAAAGCCAGATCATCACGGCCAGATTCAACTTCAATGACAGAGGATGCCAGAGTGCTGGTACTGCCTGATGAGCCCATGCTATCAGCCTGTGGGCACAACTCCCCTTCACTGCCAGCCTGAAAACCCATTAAATTGACAGAAGCATAGATATACAAAAATTTAAATCATGTAATTTTGGACCTTAGAACAACATTTTATCACAGCTGTGATACAAAAAGTATAAACAAAACCTATTGCTACAAGGTTGCATTACGTTGCAAAAATGATAGAATTAAGGCTGTATGTTATATAAATGTTTAATGTAAGAAAGTAAAATCCTCTCACACCTTTAAAGAACCTGGATTCCATGAACAGTGAAGCCATGGCAGATCAGAAAGAGAAAGATAGAAACAAAAATGATTTTACATTTTTTTCTTTTTTTAGACTATTCCATTCTTAAAATCTATATCTCTGTTCCAATTGTTTACTTTTTCACATTCACTTTCAAGAAATATCATCACTGATCAAAGAACAACAAGATAACAGAATTATAGAAAGTGAAAGAACTAAAGTCTACACTCACCACTTTGCTGGAACGCAACTTCAATATCTTTGGCAGGTGCTTGAGGCATATAAAGATTAGATTTTAGACTTTAAACTTTAGAAACTTTACAACTTTACAAGGATTTTAATTTGGTGCCAGCATCAATATGACTTAAACAACACTAAATAAATAAATAATAAACCTATAAAACAAATACAATAGAAAATACTGAAATATACTGAAATATAAAAAAAAAAAAAGCTAAATATTTTTAGAACTTAATCATTTGATGCCCGTTTTACAAATCTGAGATTAGATTATATTCACCAGACTGTCTCCTCCCACGCTTGTATGGCAGGCTACCCTCAAGGAGGAGTGGAAGGCTTTTCTTGGCTTTCTCAGGGGTGTAGATGAACTCTGGTGGCTCTGTCAGGAGTTATGAAGTTCACTTTTATGAGTATTTGAAATAGTGCGGTTTGGCATTTTAAGGTATTCTAATGAACACTACATGCCAGACCTGATTGCCTTCTTCCTCTGTGGTAGTTATGAACATCGTCCAGTCGTGGAGAAGACATTTGTTTTCTTATTGGCTCCTGATCAAACTGTGGGGCTAAGTATGGCACAAAACATGAATAATCCACAGCCAGTCACACTCATTGCCGCAAGCGACAGTTGAAATTGACAAGAATTCAAATAATACTTACATTGACAGAAGTTGTCACCAAGAACCTGCCTTGCCTGGAAAACATGTTATAAATAGATATTTAGTGCTCTGGTGTCCATCTGTACACTATGTATAACTGAACTAGCTGAACACAAAATGTTGGTCAATTTTGACTGTACATTATCCTTGACACAATGATGCATAGTTTGACATAAAAAAACTCTTACTTTTTGGGGTAAGGATGCAGGATGGTTTTCCACTATCATCCTTTTGAGGTAATGTAGCCACAGCCGCTTCTCCTCCTGGTTTTTAGCCTACAGAGAAGTATAGTAAGGTTTTTAGATTCTCATTACCATCATTGCCTTTTTCATCACTTTTAACACAAAACAAGTAATGCAACTGCAAAGTGTTCCAGACAGTAATGAAGTTGCCTGTCTGATGTGCATTTTAAATATTTTACCTGAACAATGTGTTGCTGTTTTGGGATCGTTTGGTCAGACACCTTAAAACAGAGGGGATCCTTCATGTTTTCCACTAAGAGCAGATTACAGCACTTCAAAGATGAGAGGGAGAAAGAGAAAAACATGAGTTTTGCATATCATAAATCCTTTAAGTAAAATGCTACACTCCAACTGTAGATATATAGTAGATTTAGAACTGAAATCTGATCACAAATGATGATGACTTACAAAGATGTGAGTGCTGTATATGAAATGATCCAGCCTCTTCTTGGCAATGAGAAGCATTTTGTCAAAAAGAAAGAATGCTCTTTCCTTTTTCACACGCTGAACTCGGAAGGAGCCTTCAAGTACCAGCTCTCCAAAACCACTGAGATCAGGCCCAGTCCAGTTCAGCAACAAGCTCTCAATCTCCTTTAAAAAAAGAAGTAACATTTGCAACAGAATTAAAATCTAAGAGTTACAGAATATTTGATTCTGTAAAAAGTCATAGGGAGCATTTGATGGCTGCGATTACCTGCAGTCTGACTGCATGTTCCTGTTTCCTCTTCATGTCATTGATGTACCAGGCAACTGCTGTCATGGTTATAATGGCATCTTCCACCACCTCATACCCTGGATCACTTTTATCAAAGTGTTTGGACAGTTCCTACCACAAGGGGGCGACAACAGATCAGCTGTAC